ACTTAGTGTCTTTCATTCCAACATAAGAAAACATTTCTGGAATCTGCATCTAAAATAGAATTTAGATGTATTCACACAGTTTAATGTATCTCAGAGGGGACATGGATGCATTTATCCTGCAGTTACAGATGCATAAATAATGTTTTGTTTTTAACATAAAACGTTGAATACTGATATTTGAAGTTATTTTAAAACATAAAAAAAATAGTCGAAATGCGAAATTAAAACCTCTAGTAGGTGACAGCAAGTGACTGTTAATGAGTGAGTCATTGAGATTCAACCGATTCATTCAAACGACTGATTCATTCAGAAACAAAGCATTTGACTGTGTTAATGAGTGAATCACTGAATCATTTATTCAACCGATTCGTTCAAAAAGCTGATTAATTCAATAAGTAAACACCTTCCTTTGCTCAGGGGGAAAACAGTGCTGTGATCTTTGTTTGGAACTATATTCGTTAGCAAAATTGAGCAAAAACAAGCAATATTATGTCTAAAATGCTGATATCTGTAGAAAAATGGTACTCTTTGTGTGATATAGATTAAGTTAACTATATTAAATTATATAAATATAAAAAGCATACAGAAGCATTTTTGCCGTCTACAATTTAGAAAGCCTGGAATTTTGAGTTTTAATAGACTAAATCAATGTGCGTGCACTCTGTGTGTGATTTGGTGATATAGCTTATGCCGAGTTCACACTGCACGATTTTAGCCCCGATTTTTCACTCGCCGACAGGTTTTACAAAATCGCTGACAAATGCCCGAAATCGGAGGCAAACCGGTGCTCGTTCACGTGAGTGACAATCACGCAGTGTGAATTATCAAAGACGCGATCTGAGGGAATCGCCGGCACCTCGCCGACGCCCGTGAAATATTTGGCATGCTAAATATCTGGAGCTGTCGGCGATTCACAATCACGCTGTGTGAAATGAGTTCTGACTGAAAAACACATCGGCGATGACCTAAAGCCAATGAGAAACCAAGATACAGGGCAGTGGGAAGTTCGGGGAGGAGTTAAATTAAACGTAGTTTGCGGACCAGTGTTGCCAAATCCACGATTCCCGCCGGTTGTTTTTTATGTCTGCAGGTTGAAGCGACCCCGCCCCCTGTACTGTATTTTACCCCCCCCCAAAATGCAATTTTTTTACTGGGGGACCCCCTCGAAAGCAATTGGGCTATTTTCAGGCTAGTTTTGAGTAGTAATTGGGAGGGTTTTGTAGCGAAAACCTGGCAACCCTGCACCAGACAGAGCTGTTGGCGATTCTTCCTATTGTGAAGTCATGCAATGTGAAACCCCCTGTCACCGATGTGAAAACAACGGCGATCCGACGAGTTTGAAAATCGTGCAGTGTGAACTCGTCATTACTTGATAATGTCCGATCGCACATAATTACAACAACACTCACCATATTATCGCAGACGATGCTGCATTGCACACCCCAGACTCGACTTAAGTGGAAAATGAATCATCCGTGGTTGTGCTCGCACTTGTTTGCATGAGCATGAGTCTAATGCCGAGTTCACACTGCATGATTTTCAAACTCGTCGGATCGCCGTTGTTTTCACACTGCGTGACTGACTATCTGGGGTAGCATTCAGTTGCTGCTGTGTTCACATTGCACGATGGATCAGCGACCAGGGGTTTCACATTGCATGACTTCACAATAGGAAGAATTGCCGACAGCTCTGTCTTCACAACAAAACAAAAACGTATAAGTAGTGAAAATGTATCCACTGTATGTGTTAGGCCGTATATATATATATATATTTTATGTGTTTATCGAAACCATGATAACTCAATATTGGCCTTATAACTTTTATTTTAGTGATTATGATTACTGCGCATGCAAAATACCTGTTGTTTAAGCTTGAATGAGAGCTTGTCTTATTCGCCGAACATTGGTGTTAATGAAAAGTTTATATTTTGTATTATTCTCTGGTGATAATACTGTTATAAATGATACAGTCATTACATAATTGTTCATATATCTATTAAAATACTGATATTCTGGTCTATAACTCCTCCCCAAACTTCCCTCTGCCCTGTATCTTGGTCTCTAATTGACTGTAGGTCATCGCCGATGTAGTTTTCAGTCAGAAATCATTGCACACAGCGTGATTGTGAATCGCCGACAGCTCCAGATATGTCGGTGATTCCCTCAGATTGCGTCTTTGATAATTCACACTGGTGATTGTCACTCGCGTGAACGAGCACCGATTTGCCTCCGATTTCGGGCATTTGTCGGCGAGTGAAAAATCGGGCTAAAATCGTGCAGTGTGAACTCGGCATAACTTGCAAGCGCCAGACCACTGATTCATCAAACCTGCTTTCCTGCAGTCCGTGTTCTTCTGACTTCTGACTATTTTGTAGTAAGTAACGAATATGCTTCGGGGAAATGTATCGGAGTAAAAGTATATATTTTAACTAGGAAATGTAGTGGAGTAAAAGTATAAGTTGGCTGAAATATAAAAACTCAAATAAAGTACAGATACTCACAAAATATACTTAAGTACTGTAACGAAGTATTAGTCGTTACATTACACCACTGGTTTTGGCTGCTATTTCTTTGACCCACTTCAGGTCTTAAAGTCTCTATTAATGAGCTGTCGAGTTAAATCTGGTGTGTTAGATGAGTGAGACTGCTGGGCTGCTCCAGGACAGTTTTGAAAACCATTTCAGAGACATGTTCTTAAATGTGACTCGTATAAAATTACATGCATGCACAGTTTAAGGCAGCTTTAATCACCTTTTTGGTAACTTCATGTCTTAACTGACCACGACATTGCATGCACCTAGTTTATTTCGCGCTTTGATATGAAAGGATACAGGCTACAGCACGCTATAGCGCGCGCCAGCGCCTTTGTGCGTGCAATTGAAGAGCGTGCGCTGCGAGCACAGTACCGTTTCTGCGCTCGCTTGACTCGCGCCTGCTGCTGAAGTGAAGTGGAGCGCGCGTCTGAAACGTCTCCGGTTCTCAGTCGTTCTGCGACTGAATAAATGCAATTCTTGTCAAGAGAAAAAGTGACAGAAGCAGCAGTTGTGAGTGGGGTGGCCAACCCTAGCCACGCCCCTGCGTTAATTGCGTTAAACTGAAAAAATGAATCGCCTGCGTTAACGCGCTCATTTTGACACCACTAATATATATATATATATATATATATATATATAACGCACCGTTGTTCTATCGAACGTGGGGCTGACCAGAGCTAAGCTAGGCTATTAAACTTTTGCTAAGTTAATTGCTAACAGGTTGCTAGCATTTATACGTGAGACTTTTACTATGGTTAGTGGAAAGTGCGACCACTCGCGTCCCATATACCGCACGACCATGAGTGTCTCTCTGAGCAGAAGCACAGACAGAACAAACCAGCAGGAGGCAGTGCTGTCATCTTTCTCCTTTCATTCCGAGCACAAAATAAGATCTACACAAGCAAAGCCATATCGCCAAGTCCCTCCCCGACACATCTCTCTCCATGACGGTAACATCCACACTTTTTATAACAAGGCAGTAAATGAACCAAACCCACCCGAACTAACTTAAACATAAACACACATAACATTTCTAACACAAAAACCCAACCATCTTGCTTAACTAACACGAAATTCCACTCTAAACGAATACCCATAATGCACCTGGCTGCTAGCGCTCACTGCCGGGTCATTACATTACCCCCCACCAAGAGGGTTAGTGTCCCCACAACCCTATTCTCCCATAACAAAATCCAGCAAATGTCCTGGCCGGCGTCGAACACGCTTCAACCTCCCTGATGTTCTACCCCCAGGGAGTGGATGGTGGGGAGCCGCCCTGGCTTCCACCATTCTTTTGCTCTGGGGCCAGCGGGTGGTATGGTGCTAACCGATCCTTATGAAGCACCACCCGTCTACCCCTTCCTGGCATTCGGACCCGAAAGACCACCTCCGAAAATTGGTCCAGAATCTCCCCGGGTCCCTGCCCATGATGAGTCAGTTTGGGTGACAACCCCCGCTTCCTCTGGGGGTAGAGCACCCACACTCTGTCCCCTGACCCAAGGGTAGGCCCATGGGCCCGGGAATCGTACGCCCGCTTCTGGCGGGCTCCAGCGTCCTCTAGAGCCTCTCTGGCCAGCTGATGGACCATGCTCAGACGCTCCTTCAATCACCGGAAGTAGTCCAGGTCTGGGCCACCAGCAATCTCCGGCTCGGGGGGAGCCCCGAACACCAAATCCACTGGTGTGCGGAGCTCCCTCCCAAACATCAGTGCCGCCGGTGTGCACTGGCTCGACTCTTGCACTGCTGTCCTATAAGCCCACAGGACCAGGGGCAGATGCTGGTCCCAGTCTCTCTGGTGCTGACTGGTCAAGATGGCAAGTTGGGTGGCCAGAGTGCGGTTGAACCGCTCAACCAGTCCATCACTTTGAGGGTGGAGAGGAGTGGTTCTTGTTTTCTTCACCCCCAGCCGCTGACACACCTCACTGAACAACCGGCTTTCAAAGTTCCGCCCCTGGTCACTATGCAGCTCGTCCGGCACCCCGAACCGGGTGAACATCTCATCCACTAATCGCTGCGCCGTCGTAGAAGCACTCTGATCCGGCACCGCATATGCAACCAGTCCATCGCTTTGAGGGTGGAGAGGAGTGGTTTTTGTTTTCTTCCCTTCCAGCCGCTGACACACCTCACTGAACAACCAGCTTTCAAAGTTCCGCCCCTGGTCACTATGCAGCTCGTCCGACACCCCGAACCGGGTGAACATCTCGTCCACTAATCGCTGCGCCGTCGTAGAAGCACTCTGATCCGGCACCGCATATGCCTCTGGCCACTTCGTAAAATAGTCCATAGCGACCAGGACAAAACGGTTGCCAGCCTCTGTGACGGGGAACGGACCCAGGATGTCAACCCCGATCCTCTCCATGGGCGCCCCGACTAGATACTGCTGCAACGGCGCATGAGAGCATCTGCTGGGTCCCTTCTGTGCCGTGCAGACATCACAGCAGTGAACGTGCAACTCTGCATCCTACCGACACCCTGGCCAGTAGAACCGCTGACGCAGCCGCCGCACCGTCTTGGAGTTCCCGAAATGGCCGGCTCCAGCTGCCCCATGAACCCAATGGAGGACCTCCGGCCGCAGAGCGTGGGGAACCAGTAGTTGCAGGCGCTCGATTCCCTCCCGTGGTGCCTGCCACCTTCTGTAGATCACATCATCGTGGAGCTCCAGATTTCCCCACTGAGAATGAAGCGACTTGATCTCGGGCCCCTGGGAGGACAAATGGGGGCAGCGGGGCCAGTGTCAGTGTGATGCTGCACCAAAGCTGTCCTGGTACAGTCCTCCTCTCGGGCTGCAAAAATGCCTACAAAGTCTCGGTCTCCTCGCGGCTCCATTCATCGTGTAGAGCGGCCAGGTCGACCTGCGCCAGGTAGGGCTCCAAGGGCGTCGTCCCGCTGTATCGTGGCAGCTTAGCCGGTGATCGTGTGAGGAGGCCTGGCCGGTCATTGATTTGGAGTGTCGGTGTGACGGCCCGGAGGTTCATTCTGCACGCGACCAGGAGGGCGGTACACTGTCCGAGGAACGCTGGCGCCATCAGGCCGGTGCGGAGCCCTGTTCCTCTGCGTCTTCTCGCTCGTCAGACGCTCTAGCATGATGCTGTTCTCTCGGATAGCACGCTCTAATTCGCCTATACTTTGCTCCATAATGGCGTCTTCGAAACGGCCTAAATCTCAGAAATCCCACTTCTGACACCAATGTAACAACGCACCGTTGTTCTATCGAACGTGGGGCTGACCAGAGATAAGCTAGGCAATTAAACTTTTGCTAAGTTAATTGCTAACAGGTTGCTAACATTAATACGCGAGACTTTTACTACGGTTAGTGGAATTTGCGACCACTCGCATCCTATACATCGCACTACTATGAGTGTCTCTCTGAGAAGAAGCACAGACATAACATACCAACAGGAAACAGCGCTGTCATCTTTCTCCTTTTATTCCAAGCACAGACTAAGAGTAACACAAGCAAGGACATATCGCCAAGTCCCTCCCCGACACATCTCTCTCCATGACGGTAACATCCACACTTTTTATAACAAGGCAGTAAATGAACCAAACTCACCCGAACTAACTTATACATAAACACACATAACATTTCTAACACAAAAACCCAACCATCTTGCTTAACTAACACGTAATTCCACTCTAAACGAATACCCATAATGCACCTGGCTGCTAGCGCTCACTGCCGGGTCATTACAATATATCTTCTGACAATAACAAACACTACATTTTTGTCACATCTCATAGTGAACTGTACAGAAGTTGCTTGGATGACTTATTCAAGTGACTGTGCATGCTGGGAACTGCCTATAATAAGTACAGTTAATTTTGCAACCATTATGATGCTTAAAATTAGACAATATTGACTTGCAAATACTAAAAAAATAGGCACGCTGCATTATATTTAGAATGAAATGTAAGAGTAGGTGCTGAATAGAGGTCCATCCGGCCTCATCAGTGTGCGCATATGTGTGCGTGTGTGTGTGTGTGTGTGTGTGTGTGTTAAAGAAGATAATACTATAAAAGTTAACACTTTAAACACATTAAATTGATTACAAGAGACAGTAACAACATTTATGGTGTTTTTTAAGATTTATATTCTTTCTTGAATTTTCTATTCATTAAAAAAATCCTTTAAAGAAAAAAATTATCATGGTTTCCAACAAAATATATTAAGCAGCACACTGGTTTTCAATATTGATAATAGTAAGAAATATTTCTTGAGGACCAAATCAGCATATTAGAACGATTCTGAAAGATCATGTAACACTGAAGACTGGAGTAATGGCTTCTGAAGATAAATTATGTTTTATAATATATTAAAATACAAAACAATAATACATAAATGCAGATTTGTTGAGCATAAGAAATGTATTTCATTAAAAAAATCTTATGGGATCTCAAACTTTTGAACAGTAGTGTAATACATATAATATATAGGATGTATGATAAACTGATCATAATTTAATTGTCATCATTAGTTAGTTGTATTGGTTATCTTAAAGCTGTTTTTGAAGGAAATTATGTCATAGATGAAGTCAGTTCATGCATTATGATTCTTAGAAGGAAGAACATATTTCCTCCACACAGGGGTTCTCTATCATGCACACACACACACACCTGTGAAAGGACACAAGGAAACAGGAAGAAAAGTTACCTTCATCCTTTATACTCCCTCTGAGCTGCAACACGTTTCTTCTTTCCTTTCCTCTTTTCAAATTTTTCTCTCTTTTCACAAACAACTCTCCAATGCACCCACCCTTCTTTCACTTCTGTTAACCCCCATAACACATTCCTCTTTTCATCCTCTCACATCTTTGAGACGGCATAAATGCGTCATGAAGCATGTTTGGGGGTGAACATGGAGATGCAGTGCCAATCTGCATGCATAATTCCCTGTTATATCAGCTGAGCAGATGGGCCAGATCCTGTCCCTGGTGAATGACCTATCTAAGCGTTGTGCGTGTTTTTTTTAATCACTCCTTCTCTTTCATCTGTTATTCATTCATCATTCCACTTCTCATTGGAGTCGTTTTCACACTGTTTTTATTCATTTATTTTAATTTACTTATTTATTTCCTTTTATAAATATTATTACAGTATTGGTGAACTGTTTGGTGGACATTTAGTGGAGAAGAATCCACTAGATCTCCTTCCTCTTTTTCACTGCCTCCTTCCTGCGTCTGTGTGCTGAATGTAGGTCTCTATGCGCCTACAGCCATCAACAGCAATCAGTTCTGCCCCACTTACTGAGGTGTCACATAAGCACACATTCACAATATACAGCATGTACATGCAGAACATAGATTCATGCACACTCATGAATACACACACACACACACATACACATGTATCATCCATCCAAAACATCTTGCCACTAAGTGTATTCGTTTGGCTTACCTATGTTACATAGAAATTAATTAAATTAGTTGTTTGGTGAAAATGCATTAATATGGATTTTAAGAGGTATATTCATATACATATTTTTGTGCTTATAAATTTGCAAACCTCTTACAGAATCTGAAAAAAAAATGTATGGAGCATTTATTTAGCTTCTGAAGATGCATGACAGATATTTAAAGGGGTCCTATTATGCTCTTTTACAAAGTCTTGATTTTGTTTTGGGGGTGTACTAGAACATGCTCTCATGCTTGGTGGTTCGAAAAACGCATTATTTTTCACATAATTTACATTATTAAAATACCTTTCTCCCCAGGCTGGCACAAACGGCTCGATTAGTTCCAGCTTTGATGAAGGTCCGCCTTCCGAAAAACAAAATGTGTTGTGATTGGTTAGCTGTCCCAGTGCGTTGTGATTGGCAAACAGCTTAGACGGTGTTTCAGTACTGCCACGCCCCCTTGCTCTGTCTTTCAACAAAAGCTTTTGGCGAATCTGGCACTTCATCACTCGTGTTGTGGAAGCTGTCCTCAGTAAAATGCGCAGCACACAATAGCAAATTGAGGTTATAATGCTCAGGAACAGAGTTAAAAAGTAAATTGCAACCACTTTTTCCTGACATCATCCGCTTTCGGAAGTGAAAAAAAAACAGCGTTTCAGGCGGTCGCGAGAAGCGCAGCGTCGCGCCACGGCTTTAAAATTCGAACACATTATTTTCTATGAGTGAAGGCACACCGGCAGCGCTGTTCGGCATCTGTCCGCGGCGCCCAGCTACGTCGTGTTGTACTTGTAAGAATTGTTCTAGACTAGCGGTTCTCAATTCCAGTCCTCGCGTACCCCCGCTCTGCATGTTTTGCACGTCTCTCTTTGTTAACACACCTGATTCAGATCATCATCTTGTTAGAAGTGAGCTCCGTGCATGAACTGTGTTCCGATTGACATGCTCCCTACACAGTGTCCATTGCTCCCTACTCCGGGAGCAGGGAAATCCGTTGAAGTTTACTTCACTTCAGAACATTAATTTACAGATTTGCGCTGCTACGCCGCTGCCTGCAGCATCT